TGCTTAAAACTTGAAGCAACTATGCGTTGTAGTTCACGCCACCTTTTTGCTACCACACGGTGCCTTGAAATACAATTTGTTGCTTGGCATACCTTGCACGTGGTTTGTGTGATTCGTTAGCGAGCAACTTGAACCAAAAGACGCCATATAAACTAAGTATGACTCCTCACGCATTGCTTGCTCTTAGGGGCTTGTACGTGCGGGGGGTATGTGTAGGGAGTTTCAGGACTAGCGCTGCTCGTGTCTTTGTGCCCCAGTGGCGCGCCAAGTTAACTTGAGTGTCGTAACGCGAGGGGGGCCTTCGGAGTTGCCGGACCAGCGTTGCTCGTCGTAACGGGGGGGGGGCTCGGAGTTGCCAGACCAGTATTGCCTTAAGTCTTTGCGCCCTAGTGACGCGCCAAGTTAACTTGAGAGTCGTAACGGGGGGGGGAGCCTCGGAGTTGCCAGACCAGCATTGCCGTTGGTCTTTGCGCCCTAGTGACGCGCCAAGTTCACTTGGGTGTCGTAACGGGGGGGGCTCGGAGTTGCCAGACCAGCATTGCCTTTGGTCGTTGCGCCCTAGTGACGCGCCAAGTTAACTTAAAGTGTCGTAACGGGGGGGGCTCGGAGTTGCCAGACCACCATTGCCTTTGGTCTTTGCGCCCTAGTGACGCGCCAATTTAACTTGAGTGTCGTAACGGGGGGGGGCTCGGACTTGCCAGACCAGCATTGCTTTCGGTCTTTGCGCCCTGATGACTCGCCAAGTTAACTTGAGTGTCGTAACGGGGGGGGGGGGCTCGGAGTTGCCAGACCAGCATTGCCTTTGGTCTTTGCGCCCTGATGACGCGCCAAGTTAACTTGAGTGTCGTAACGGGGGGGGTCAGTGCGACCGTTGCTTTGGAGGTCGGGTCAGGATGCAGTGGAGGAAGCGTCCATCAGAGTGCATGCTTAGGTGTGCTGGCTATACGCAAACTTCTGAAGCAATTGGCACGCATAGAACAGCGCATGAAGACGCGTCGTGACGGCGGGGGTGAATGCCCCCCCCTCAGTGACACCTCAAGTCGACATGGAGTGTCACCCACCCCCCCTGGGCACCAACACGCAATGTCTTTCGCACTGCCGTAGGTACTTGCGCCTGGCTTGGGGATCTACCAAGGGGTGGTGAACGACACCTCAAGTCAACTTGAGGTGTTAATGAGGGGGGGTGCAGTCCCCTCCCCCCCCTTCAGTGGCACTCGTCACCTCCGTCTTTGAACCAGCGCAAAGGCATCAGCAGCGTCCTCCCTGTTCCGTTCTCCCTTGTCTCCCAGGTCCCTCCTTTGCCTGTGATTGCCCTTGTCTCGAGGCAGGGGTGGGAGCGGCGGAGGGTAACTACAAGAGGGAGGAGCTTTGGCGACAACGTCGTGTCTGTGACCTCTGTCCTATCCCGTCTCTGCCGAATCTCTTTATCAGCGACCCCATTCTCCTGCTCCCCCTTCTCCCCTCCGCCTTGACTCCTCAACTGCCCTCGGTCATCGCCTCTGTTCCTCTACCTCCCCCCTGCGTCCATTGATTTCTCGCCCGCTGATCGGCCAAAAATGGGGGCGAAGAGGTGGCGAAGAGGTGGCTTAAAATACATAGGTGTTTGTTTTATCCACATGGGATGTGAAAGCGAAAATAATAATCGAATCAGGAATACGTCAGCCGTTACGACACTCAAGTTAACTTGGCGCGTCAGTAGGGCGCACAGACACGAGCAGCGCTGGTCTGGCAACTCCTACGGACCCCCCCGTTACGACACTCAAATTAATTTGGCGCGTCATTAGGGCGCAAAGACTGACGGCAATGCTGGTCTGGCAACTCCGAAGGCCTCCCCCCTCGTTACGGCACTCAAGCTAACTTGGGGCGCCTATAAGGCGCAAAGACACGAGCGGCGCTGGTCTGGCAACTCCGAGGGCCCCCGCCCCCCGTTACGACACTCAAGTTAACTTGGCGCGCCACTGGGGCGCAACGACACGAGCAGCGCTGGTCCGGCAACTCCCTACACCCCCGCCCCGCACGTACAAGCCCCTAAGAGCAAGCAGTGCATGAGGAGTTATACTTAGTTTATATGGCGTCTTTGGGTTCAAGTTGCTCGCTAACGAATCACACTTCCACGTGCAACGTATGCCAAGCAAACAATGGTATTTCAAGGCACCTTTCGGTAACAAAAACGTGACGTGCAATACAGCCCATCGTTGCTTCCAGTTTCAAGCGGGGCCCTTCAAAACAGATTGAACGAAATGCCACAGCATTTTCGCGTCCAGTGAACATGGCTTGCGTAATTTCGCTCGTGAGCGGTTTGACAGAAACGTTATTCGAAATGCAAGTGGGCGTTCGTGGCAGATTTTTTTCCCAGCGCGAATGGTTGGCGCTTGAACGACATCCGCTTTATGCGAGTCCCAGACGCCGTCATAATGGCTTGATAGTAGTTTGGGGGGTAGCTGGGGGTCTCCGGACACGCGATGCGTTTGAATACGCGCGCAGCGCGCAACTGGTAGGCCAAGTTGACATGGGCGTCATTCTTGAGGGCGGGTGCTGGGAGTTGCGAATTCGCAATGCTTTCGCTCTGCTGACGCGCAGCTTGATTGTCTTAATTACTTACCTCGTCCTACTTCCTCTTACCCCCCTCCTCAAACTCATCCTGCCTCCTACCTCCTACCACCTCCGCCTAACTTCATTTACCTTCACACTTCCACTTTCTCTCTTCCTGTCTCCTTCCTCCCCCTCCTCCGCCTCCTCCTATTCGTTCCTACCTCCTCCCACCTCCTCATGCCTTCTCCTACCTCCTCCTACTTCCTCTTACGTCCTCCTACCTCCTTCTGCCCCCTCCTGCCTCCTCCTGCTCTTCCTACCTCTTCCTACCTTCTCCTTTCTCCTCCTCCCTCGTCGTACCTTGCCCTGCCTTCTCCCACCTCCTACTTTCCCCTACCTCTTTCTACCTCCTCATACCTCCTCTTACTTAGGTCGAATGAGGTGTGAATTGGTCGGAGGAGGTAGGAGGAGGCGCATGATCCTCCTCCCCCTCCCCCTCCTCCTCCTCCTCCTCCTCCTCCTCCTTCTCCTCCTCCTCCTCCTCCTCCTCCCCCATCCTCATTATCCGAAGCATCTTCCTCCTCCTTCTCCCAGCCAACTGGCCAGCGGACCTGCCAGCCGGCCGGCAAGCCAGCCAGCCCAATTGCCAGCCAGCCCACCTGCCAGCCAGCCGGCCAGCAAATCAGCCAACCAACAGACAAGCCAGCTAGCCGGCTGGCCAGCCGACCAGCCGGCCAACCAGCCAATCAACCGAGCAGCCAACTAGCAGCCCAGACATCCCGAGACCGTTCGGCCATCCAACCAATTGGCCAGCCGGCCAACCACCCGCCAACCCAGCCAGCCAGCCCGACGGCCAACCAGCCAGCCAGCTTGCAAATAAGCACAAGAAGCTCCACGGAGCCCCAAGAGCCAACCACAAGGAATCCATAGGAATCCGCATCGGATCCCCGCAGGAATCCATAGGGATCCATGGGAATCCCCAGAGGAAACCATAGGAATCCCCATAGGAATCCGTAGGATCCCCCATAGGAATCCATGGGCACCCCTGCAACAATCAATTGGAATCCATAGGAATCCGATAGGAATCCCCATAGGAATCCGTAGAACCTGGCATAGGAATCCATAGAAATCCCGATAGGAATCCATAGGAATCCCGATAGGAATCCATAGGAATCCTCATAGGAATCCGTAGGAGCCTTTGGGAATCCATACGGATCCTCATAGAAATCCGTACGGCTCCCCATGGGAATCAATAGGCATCGCCATAATAATCCATAAGTTGTATCAATAACAACAAACACAACAAAACAGTACAAAACAAAACAAAAAAAAACGGCCCCCGCGACGCCCGAAGGCGAGGCCAATTGGTCCAAAGACCGAAACAGCGCAAACGAGCGCAAGGCTTAAAGCAATGCCAAGCGGGGCCCGACGCCACGACACATTTCCAATTCAAAAAACTCATCCGGAGCTTCTTGTGGAATTTCTAACTTTGATCGGTCAGTGAGGGCCCCAGGCCCCGAAAGAAGGCAGAACCGCCCTTTGCCGAAAAATGCGATACCAGGGCATCAGCCTGCCCAACAGCCGCCGCTGTGAAATTCGGACAGCACCCACAGCTTGGCATCGTGTTCACGTTTTCCGTGCCCAATTCGGGCGTGTCAAGGGGACGATCGTAGTTCCGCCTCGTTCTTCCCGCCTTCCCCTTTAGGAAGGAGGAAGAGCAAGGTAATGTGATGCGTAATGCAAGGGTGGGGCCCAATAGAGGGCAAGGCGGCACGCCGCTTCAGACCCTTCACGAGGGGTGCTCGAGCCGGGGACACTGCCTTCGCCCTGGTCGGAAGGCCCCCCGAGACTCATTGCTGCTGGGCATCGTTGAAGTCCTCGCGCCCCGCGCCTACCTTTGCCGCGTGCTGCCGCGTTTCCCCTCGCCAACGCTTGCAGCCAAGGTCTTCGGCTACCTCCGACCCTGATTGACCGACCGACCGACCGAGGAGGAAGGAGGGAACAGGAGGAAGGAAGAAAAGGAGGGAGGAGGGAGGAGTAAGAGGACGGATGCAGGAGAATGAGTTCCTCCTCCAAAGGCCCATTTCTATCCAATGCATCACATTCGATACGTATCGGTTGCGGCCAGCTTCATCCGATTCAATTTCGATATTCCGACGATCTGGTGCGTCCCGATGATTGCACGGCGCTGTTGTGCATCCTGGCGCAGCCGATCCGATTCGACGGTGAGTCCGTACCGACGCTACCCGATCCGACGCTCATTCGGATATTGGTTTCCCGATTCGATGCTGATTGGTCCTGCCCCCTCTGCGCCTTCATGAAAGGAACAAAACAACTAGAAGTTTGTGTTCGATCATGGACCTTTTGCTGAACGCAACCATCCGATCTTCGCGCCGAAGAACATCGAATACCTTTGGAATCCTCCGAAGAGAATTGAGAATCGCAGAAGAACGCTGAAGACTCCGGAGGACGCCAAGCTGGTGGGCCCCGGCCAGCGCATCGTCCTGGAGGTCGGCTACGATGCGTTGGTGGGCGCCGGGTGCGCGCCCGACGGAGGGAATGGCGGTTGGCGGCTGCTGTGCCATTGCAGTCCAAGCGCTGCCGTGACGCGCTTGTGGCGTGGGTTTCCGGACCCAGCCATGTTCTCGTTGTGGACGAAACGCAACGGGAGGTTTTTGATCATTTTCGTCCTGGGGGCCCTCCCCGGGCCCCGAAGCCTTCAGAAGACGATTCGAGATGAAAAACGGGCCCTCTGGACCTGGTCGGGACTTCTGGAGAGCCCGGATGGAACATTCAAGTGTTTGGGAAGGCAGCATGCAGCGGAGGGAGCGGCACAAATGCTGACCAAACACGTTTCTTCATCGGTCGATGACCAACGGGGCAAAGAGCCTTGCGGCGCGGTTGCCGCGCCGCCCCTTGTCTCGGTGTCCGTATGAGTGAGTGTGTGTGTGTGTGGCCACCCTTGTATTCTTGGCAGATGGCGCATTCTGGCTCCTCCCCATCCTCCACATCATCCCTCCTTCCAGGCCCCCTCCGTTCCGCCCTTGTCGTCAATCTCACTCCTGCTCCGCGCCGCTGAGGGTGACCTTGAATCCTCCTCTTCCTCCTCCTCCTTGTGGCTTTCGCCCCGGGCAAGCCCTACAGCGCGCAGCTGGGCTTGCGCGCCCAGCTCTGCGGGTGCTGCGGCCCGGCGGCAGCTGGGAGGGGAGGGCGGGCGGCGAGGAGGAGCACAGGGAAGCTGCGGCGGCGACCCCAGCGCGGGCGGCGAGGGGGGGGCGGGCGGCGAGGGGGGGGGCACAGGGAGCACGGTAGGCTCGTGTCGTGCCGACGCGGCGGCGACCCCAGCGTCGGCGTTCAGGGTTGAACGCCGCCGGCGGCCCAACATCGGCCGATCTCGAGCCATCCGCGCGAGTTTAGCGGGGACCTGCGGTCGCTCAAGGTTGACATCCAGGCGGCGTCGTAAACCAACGCTGAAGTCGTCATGACGCGAACCTTCCGTAGCCCTTCACTCTTTCCAGCCCTGGCGACCTCATCCCAGCTGATTCGGGCTCGCTTCAGCCTGTTTCCAGCGCTGGCCACTTCCACGTTCATGCAATTTCCAATTTCCACCTCTTACAGCTTCTCTGTATGAGGATGTAGACCTCTCACGATGCAAAGTGCGCCGCCGTCTTTAGCCTCTGGGCTCTTGCCGGGCGACGGCGCCGTCAAGAAGTTCTCGGGATGAACAGTTGGTTTGGGAAAGGGATCGAGAAGTCCAGCGTTGGCTGAGCGCACAAGAGGGGGCCGCGAGGGGGGTTGACGTGATCGAAAGTTCCCCAGAGTTGTCGGAAGTTTTCTGGGCCGGGGGCGGTCTCCATCAGTTGCGCCTCTGCGCGGGCGTTCCGGTGGCTCGAGATCGTCGTGAACGGCCGAGGTATGACCCGAAGTCTCGGGGGCAACGTTAGGGGAAACATATAGGCTCAGGGGGCGATGCATCGACCCCCCATCGCCCATTCGTCGCCGATATGGGCCTGACAGCCCAGCCAGCCTAGGAACTTGCGGATTCATCGGCGATGGCTTTTGGCCCATCCCGCCGCAGTGCCTGGTACGTGGGTCAGAATTCTCACGGATGCATCTGGGGGTCTTTCTGGAGCACTCTCGGGGGCCGCCTGGGCAGCGCCGGAGCCTCTTGGGAGCCTCTTGGGGGCCTCTCGGAGGCCTCCTGGGGCCTCCTGGGGACCTCTTCGGGGCTTCTCGGGGGCCCCCGAGAGGCACAACCCACAACACATGAACACAACCCAGGCACTTGCGGTGTCCTGTCGGCGATCAATCGGCGATGCATCGGCGATGCAGGCTCGACGTTCCCCTGAGCCAGTTCCCCTCTCATCGATGTTGAGCGCCGCTGTTTGCTCAGAGTCGGTCGACATCGAGCGATGCCACGATCGTTCAAGGTTGATCGATTCACACGGCGTCGGAGACCAGTGCGCAGTTCGTCACGGCACGATCTAGCCGACCAGCCGAGGTTTGAATCACTACGCCTCTCTTGGTCGGGTTCCCTGGCGTTTCCAGGACCATTTCCAGTAATGCGGCGCGGGACATGGGGTGGTGGTGCAGGGTGGGCGGGGTGGACGGAAATTGCTGAGAAGCGCGCACCCATCGGTCGTTGAACATCTGTATCTTTGGATTCTCTGACTCCGATACACTTTCGGCGCGTTTCCATAAGTGCCGAATGGTTCTCTTGGTGTTCCTCTTGGGGTGGTGGTGAACACCCGATTTTTTGTCCAACGCCTTCCTACTCCATGTTTCGATCGACGTCTTTCGAATGGTGGGCATCAGTTGGGAGTTTCACATCAGGTCTTGTTGGGATTGGCGAAGTGGTCGGCGCTGGATTTGTCGTGTCCCTCCTTTCCGCGGGCTGCTGAAGGTGGCCTGCTGGGCCGCTGCGCCCCCTGATGTCCCATGGACGCCCCCCTCTCGGCCTTCTGGCGTCCGTCCTGAGGCCCCAGGTGGACCACGAGGGGGCCCGAGACGGGCAGACGCCCAGGGGCACACCCTGCTGAGATGACCGCTGGGTTGATAAGGGTGTGGGGAGCTTTGAAGCGGATGCTAAGGTGGATTGTATCCGGCCTACCCTCGCTCAGAAGTGGACTACAGGTGCCCGAAGTGGTTTAGGGGGAGTCAGATAAGTTCGCCAAGTGGGCGGAACCCACTTAGCCTGGATCGTTAACCCCCCTAAACCACTTCGAGCACCTGTAACCCACTCATAAGGTAGATTCGGCCAGACATGTCCCACCTTAGCATCCGCTTTGAAGCCCCCTCCACCCTTAACAACCCCGGCGGTCATTTCAGTGGGCCCATGAGATTATTTTACATTCTCCCAGTACGAGCACCACTCGGCCTCATGCTCACGACGCCCACGCGGGTGACGCCTCCGCCCCGGGCGCTCTTCCGCCTCCATCCTGGGCCCAGAGGGAGCCTCTTGTTTGTCGACGCCCGACGCCTCTCCACTCCCGCCCCGAGGTACAGCCGAAGCTCTCTGCGGGGCGCAAACTGTGGAGTGTTCCTCGGGGACTCGGGGAACGAGTGGCCGTACATCCTCGCCGACTCGGGGCTCGGCTGCCCGAGCGACACTGGTGCCGTCGCATTGGGTTGCCGGCTCCAAATCAACCTCATCGGCGCAGACGGTCAGGCTCGTGCCATGTGGAGCGATACTAACGGATGCCCACCTCGCTGCTGGTCCAACGCTCAAAGGAATAAGAGGGAAGAACAGTTACCGATACCGCTACCTATCCCTCGTTGTTGCCGTTTGGGGCATCCTGGGAGGCCCTCATCGCCACTGCCCCAAGCAAAATACGGCTTCCGAGAAGGTGCGAGGGCTTTTGAGAAGCCCCGCTGCCTTCTGAGAAGGCCCGCCCCCTTCTCAATTTCCCTCTAGGTTCGCCGCCGATTACGTGCTCGGCGCATCCTTGACTGCTTGGCTGAAAAATCTGGCATCCGAGAGCAGGATTTCTCAATACCCATTGCCTGTGAAGCCGACGTTCCCAGACCTCAGGACGGTGGATGTGGATGTAGCCCTCTCTGGCGCAACTCTATCCATATCCATCCCCCCTTTGATCTCGGGTCATCGGTTTTCCCAGGCGGTTGATTTGTCTAAATCGCCGCCTCCGTCTTGAGGGCCTCTTGAGGCCCTCTTCGCCCATCTTGGACCATGCGAGAAGCCCCAAGAGATTCAGGAATTCGGGGTCCCGGCCCCTGAGAAACACCTGAGGAGGGAGGGCTGAGGCTCAGGGGGTTAGGCAACAGACCTGACGAAACGCCCACTCCGTGCCCAGAGCCACAATGGCGGAGATCGGCAAGTGTTCCCACTGTCTTACACCATCTTCAAATTGCGAGGGTGTGAGGCCCATGTTGTAAACAAAAGGCAGTAGCACGTGCGGCCCACGTGAGGCCCACGGCGTGGACGCCGGGCCAGGTGTATTTCTGGGCCAGTGAGGTCCATGTTCTCCCAGGCAAAAATACCACTAATAATGTCTGTGGCGTAAGCTTGTGGTGTAAGCTGTGTGCTGCGGACGCGCGAAATTTCTCTCAGCAGGCGTAAGCGGGGTTGGGCCACGCGCCTTTGTTGGGGATTTTTCCGGCCGCTTGAGAACACAAGAACCACTCCCGCCTTTTTACCACACATGTTCTTGGCCTTGCCTTCTTACTACACAACCCGTTTTGGATACAAGTTCGGCCTCCTCTGTTTACCCCCGAAGAGGAGAGCTTTCCCGACCAAATCGCAAGGCAGGCGAAGCACACCACCAGGAAGACTCCCTGGCTCCCCGCGATGGTCGCGGTGGGGCCGATTTCCTCTGATACTTGGGAGCGGTCAACGTGCCCGACCTTCGATCGTGCAACTCGATCCTTCTGGCATTAGATGACTCGAGGATTGACCTTTCTGATATGTTCGACCTCGCTGCCGGCACGCATGGTAAGAGCAGCCCTACTTACGCGGTGTACCCTCACGCTCTGCATGTTTGCGCCCTCCACCTTGGAATGGCCTCCGTGTCAAAGAGCCTGCCTGCCCAACTGCGGCCGCACCCATTCGGGCTCGAGGCCGACATTCTAGACTCGAGGCCGACATTCTAAGGGAAGGCGCCGCGAGTGAAAACCACACATCGTCGGCGATCGGGGATTTCAGGCTTGTCGGGCCCCCCCGCGGACCCGGAGGTCTCGATTCATTTTCTGTGACCAGCTTTTCGCCCCGAGTCGTTTGTTGACGGTGCCCCAGCCCGGCGAGGGCTCCGGGAGGCCGAGAAAATTTTCAATAATTTGCCTGCATCACGAAGGCAATTGCAACATCGTAGCGCAACTCGACCGGAGCCCTGGACCCCACGTTTCTGCATTTCTCGAGCCGGATCGATGCGTGAGGGCCCCGGGATCCCGCACAGGGCGAAAACGCCTCTCGTAGAAATTTCATTGGCGACGTACAAAACCCCTGCGCAATGCGGGGCATGACTAGTTTGGGACACGTTATACGGAGGAGATGACGTGACACGGGCGCATATACTTCTGCGATCGGCATTCGTGAGGCTCGCAGCCGGATTGCGAGGTCCCGCTCAGATCTGCGTGGTGCCTCACTCCGCTGGACCCGCCACCAGCCTTAGAAAGTAGCGACGGTTTCGCAGATCGCAGCCCCCCAGGGACGGCGAGGTACCTCTCAGATCTGCGCGGTGCCTCACTCCGCTGGACCCGCCAGCAGCCCTCGAAAGTGGCGACGGTTTCGCAGATCGCAGCCCCCCATGGACGGCGAGGTCCCGCTCAGATCTGCGCGGTCCCTCGAAAGTGGCGACAGTTTCGCAGATCGCCATCCCCCAGGGACGGCGAGCTACCGCTCAGATCTGCGCGGTGCCTCACTCCGCTGGACCCACCAGCTGCCCTCGAAAGTGTCGACAGTTTCGCAGATCGCAGCCCCCCCCCCAGGGACGGCGAGGTCTCGCGGGAGACAGGAGGCGGGAGGCGGGAGGAGGAAGACGCGACCGCAGTGTTCTTTTCAAAACGAATACCCAACCAAGGAGGGTTGGGACAAAAATCGCAGCGCCAGGATCTCAGGGCCCCATCGTAGGTCTTTGCGCGACGCTGGGGGTGTCTGGGAGCCCAGGCGCCCCCGCGGGCGCCGCGCCGCCCGCGCCCGCCCTCGGCGTCGGGGCCGCGGGAACCTCCACGCGCCCGCTGGGCGCGGGCGACCAGGCGCCGCCGCGGCCGCCGCGGACGCCGCGGCCGCCGCCGTTACCCTCGTCGCCGCCGTCTTCGCCGCCGCGGCCGCCGCCGCGGTCGCCGCCGCCCCGTGACATCCCCTCGTTGTGAAAGAATTGCGACGGGTATCTTTTGGTCGCTTTCGGCTTCAGGCGGCCTTCACTGGGCCTTGGGACCGCCAAGAAATGATTGGAGGATGAAGAGCCCGTCCTGCACAAGGGGTCCAGACCTCCGTGGAGCCACGTTCTGTTAAAAATGCGACGTTGGGTTTCTGGGCCCTCGCCTTCTTCGCTTGCTGCTGTCGCCGCCGCCATTGCCGCCGAGTGTGGGCTGGGCTGGCGCCGCCAGCGTATGTCGGTTTTGCGTCGGCACGGGTTGGTTCTGCGGGCTCGGCTCGGTTCCGCCGGGCGGGTCGGTTACGCCGGGCCGGCCAGGCTGGCGGATCCTAGCGGGCGAATCGACGGGTGGGCGGGGCGAGTTTGCCAGCAGACGATCCTGCGGGCCTTGGCGGTGGGGTCTAGCGGGCGGACTTTAACGGGCGGGCGGGCGAACACTGACGGGCGGAGTAAAGGCTTTGATCAATGGCCTTGCTGGGATCTAGGGGAGCTCCGAGCGGGAATCTGCACTTTCGCGAGACCTCTGCGCAACCCTCGCTCCGACTTGACGGCCGCGCCGATTAAGATCTGATTTGTACTGGGGAGGCGTTGGGCCTTTTGAGGCGTTCGCCGTGTCAAGATTTTGTCAAGTGCGCGCGTGGATCGAGCGCGTTGTCCTCGATTCATGCTGCTACGTGCCATCGTCATCTTGATGGCCACTTCATGGTCACCGCTATCATTACGACCATCGGAATCAGCATCTGCGCCATCAAAATAGACCGATCATAAACCCAACGTCAAACCCAAACAGACCCAACATAGACCCACAGTAGATCCCACAATAGATCCAACATATACCCGAATCGACCCACGCAGGGTTGGTGCGAAACTCCGACATCTCGCGCGGAGTGATATCTGATTGAAAAACAAAGGAATCTGGAAATCTCGCTCCAGAGTGGCGAGAACCTCAGAATTGTGGCGCGGGTGCCAGGCGAGTTTCCGAAATCTCGTGGCTGCCTCGCGCTATAATCGTTTGAATGTCAAGGAGGGTACGCCGTCTTCGCCGTCGCGCATCAGTGATTGCTCCAGGCTGCGCGACGGCGGTATCGCACCTGGCACAAGCCCGCAGCGCACAGATCCAACATTAAACCAGAGCTTTACACCGAACGAGCAGTGTGCACTAGGAGTCGGATTAGGAGGGCAACGCAGCAGAGCATTTTAAATTCCGTTTTCGCCATGGCGCATTTCGACCCTGCCTCAGAGACGACAGCGCGGGATCCATGACGGTGGACTCGCGTTTTGGGTCGCGCGAGCCTGGTGCGAAACCCTCCAGGTCCTCACAAGACTAGTAGGGTGGCCTTTCAAAGCTTCTACAACGGGCTGGCAGGGCGAGCGGTCAAGTAATTCAAACAGGCGGGCGGGATCAATTATCAGCAGCTGAACCTGCGGATCCTGACGTGCGGGTCAGAAGAGCACCTGGTCGAAGACCACGAGCACGGACGACGACGGCGAAACTGGCCGCGGGCGAAACGGCGATCTAGACGAATGGGCGACACCGACCGCCGTAGACGAAACCGACAGGGCGAAACCGACCGCGGGCGAAACCGACCTCGGCGAAACCGATCTGGCGAAACCGACCGCGGGCGAAACCAACCACTCCCCCGCAGCAGCCGTGGCCGATGCCGTCGCTTGTTGCGGTGATATGTGCTGTGCTTTTCTTGTTCCTCGTTTTTTGCCCTCTGTGGGGATCGATGATGGATTGTTTTTCGCCCCCCCACCCCAGGGGGGGCAGGTTTGGATCCTTGGTGGAAATGTCCCTGACCTGGCGGTGCTCTCATGGACAGCCCAGTCGACCTTACAATTGCCACGTTGTCCGCATATTATTATTCTTCCCCTCCGTCCTTGCAATGACCCTGGCATTGGCGATCGAAACGCAATTGCGTCTTTCGACTACACCTGAGAAAAACCCAATCAGTGGGTGATTTGAAAATTAATACTATGGATCTTGAGATCGATTGTGAGATCGATAATGAGGTCGATAGTGGAATCGGTAGGGAGGACGATTGTAAGGTCGATCGTGAGACCGAGAGTAACATCGGTTCAATGAGATATATGGTGAGATCGATCGCGAGATCGCTCATGCGATCTCTAGTGAGATCGCTTGTGAGATCGATAGTGATATCGATTGTGAGGTCGATGGTGAGATCGATAGATAAGTAGGTAATGAGATCGACGGTGAGACCGATCGATAAGAAGATCGACCAGGAACCCGGGAACTGTGGAACCTCGCCGCCCTCCCAAATCGGCCCAGAACTTGGAACCGGGAACTTGGGAACCCAGACCCGGAAACCCGGGAACCCAGCCAGCAACCAATATCGGCAGGAATTGTTCGCCCAATCTTTCAACATCCGCGAGGATTCTTTCAGCGCAAGCACTGATTGGGGAAAAACGCACAGCACGCCGACAGGACAGCATAACAGGAGCGCAGAAGTGGAGCAGCCCGCTGGGGCGTCTTTGCCATGATCGTCGTAATCCGCCGATCCTCCTCTCATCTGCGCCCCCAGCCGCCTCATCATTTCGCTCTGCCCCGTGTCGGGCCGTGCGTCCCTCCCCTCGCAGCCCCGCCCTCCGCGAGCCCAGGCATGGTGGGGCCAGTCTGAGGCGGTTCGTATCCTCTTCTTCGAACGAACGTCCGCAGCACCAAAGAAGCGACGGGCAGATGACACCAACATGAGCCGGTGCACGGAATGCGTTCGCTGAGGATTATCCGGAGAACGAGTTCGTGACCTGAGGACCGAGGAGGTGCAGGAGGAGGAGTCGAAGGAGGAGGAGGAGGGGGGGGAGGGGGAAGGAGGAGGAGGAGGGGGAGGAGAAGGATGAGGAGGAGGAGGAAGTGGAGGAGGAAGACGGGGAGGAGGAGGAGGAGGAGGAGGAGGAGGAGGAGGAGGAGGAGGAGGTTGCGCCGACACGCCGAAGCGCGCGCGATCCAGCAGAGACTGGGCGCGGGCGGGCGCCTCCCTTCCTCCTGTTCCTTCTCCTCCTCCTCCTCCTTCCCTCCTCCCCCTCCTTCTCCTCCTTTTCCTCCTCCTCCTCCTCCTGCTCCTTCCCTCTCCGTAGCCATTTTGGCCCAAGTCCCTATATCTCGAGCTGCGGGACCTCCGGAGGGCCAGGGCCCCTTTGGCCCAGGGCCAGGAGGAGGGAGGTGGGAGGGTGGGGTCGGAGACAGGAGCTGCGCCCGAGGGCCAGCCAGAACCCCATGCGGGCGTCGCGGCTGGCGGCGGCGGGCTCCGCCGCGACCTGCGCGGCCTCGAGAGGGAATGGGTCGAGGTCCCCGACGAAGGGCTGCGGTTCCAGTGGCACCGGCCGCCGCGCAAGGAGGTCGCAAGGCAGCGCGCGGACACTTGCACCGTTCGCATCTTTCTGAACGGCCGTTTCGACCTTGCGCACATCGGGCATTTCAGCGCCCTCTGTCAGGCCAAGAGTTTCTTTCAACAGCGTGGCTACAGCAACGTGTACTGGTGGCGGGTATCCACTCGGATGAGGCGGTAAGTCACCAGAAGGGCCTTCCTCTCATGGACGACGACGAGAGGATTGCGGTGCTGCAGGCTGCGAAGTGGGTCGATGAGATGGCCACTTCCTTGCCGTACACGTCCATGTCGGTGAAGATGGCCGATACGCTCAGCGTGGACTGGATCTGCCACGGCGACGACCTGCCCGTCTGCAGAAGCGGCGGCGGCATGTACACGGACTCTATCGAGAAGGGCCGTTCCCAGATGTTGAAGCGGACGGAGGGCATCTCGACCGCGCAGATCTTGCGGCGTTTGTTGGAGCGCCCGTCCCGTGACGGCTCTGAAGGGCAGCCCGCCGTGCCGTCGGCTCCTGCCGCGGGGTCCCACGGCACCCACGACGGCGGGCCGCCCCTGGAGCCCGCGCTGGTTACCACCCAGCGCCTCGTTCAGTTCGCCGAGCGGCCTGGCGGGGCGCAGCGGGGCTGCATCGGCGACGCCGAGCGCGTCGTGCACATCGGGGGGGCATTCGACCTCCTTTACGTCGGGCACGCTCGAGCCCTCAGGCGTCGGAGCTCGGAGACTACCCCCTCGTGGGCGTGCACTCGGACGAGACGGTGCGCCAGCGGCGCGGGATGCTGCCAGTGCTGGCGCTCATGGAGCGCGCCATGGCAGTGCTGGCGATGAGGTGGGTCGACGACGTGGTCCTCGGCGCTCCCTGGGAGGTGACCCGAGATCTCCCGGTGATCATGAACTTCGCGGTGGTCGCGGCGGGCCAGCAGGGTCCGCTTTCTGCGAGCAGCGGGCCACTGGGCATCCCACGCACGCTGGGGATTCTGCGGAAGGTCGACAGCGGATCGCAGCCGACCTCTGGGTCCCTGAGGGACCGCTTCCTGCAGCGGAGGGGATCCATTGCGCAGCGGAACAGCGCCCTGCTTCCCAAGGAAGACGCCTACACACGGGCGAAGAAGTACGTGCCTCAAGCTTGATTGGGTCAAGGCTTGCGGATCGTTGACATCGCGTGCGATGTTCCTTCTCCTCCTCCCCTACCTCGTAGTGGGATCCTCTTCCCTCGTTCTTGCACCAGCTCCTGCACGTTTCCAATCATACAGTGCGGCGTGGCACAGTATCGCGCCATATATCCCATTCCCCAGATGTCGTGGACGACACCCGTCGCTACCCAGGAGGGATACGGCGATCGGCGGGCTGAATGTTTCCTTGCGGAGGCGGGATGGCTTTACGCAAATCCAGCCCCTCCCTCGCGGGAAACATCAGTCAACATTTTTAGATGCTCGTTTGGGGAACCTTCCTGGGGGTCCGTCTACTCAGTGAACATGTTCAGCTCTAGTTCGACTCAAGCCGACGGGCGTTCGACGCAGCATCGACGCGTGAATGGAGCGAGTGATTCTAGGAAGGTTCCAAGGACGAGGGTCAAATTCTAGGCTCCTGGCCTCATGATGGGGTGGTCTGGATGCCGTGGGGGCCTCTGTCTTGGAGTTCTGGATGGAACGAACTCGGGCCAGAGGCACCCCACCCATGCATCCTCCGTGCTGCTTCTGTTTGCACAGCGCGGCTCCCCAGAGACGTCGACCCCTTCTCTGAGATTCGCTTTCCACCCTGAGTCGGTGTCGACGGTCCCAGGGCCCAGCGAGGGCCTCTGGAGGCCGAGAATTGCACAGCATCTTCCGTCGTGATCTTTGTTCACAGCGAGGGGGTGCCAGGACAGGGGCGCCTCTTTGGCATCGAAGCCCTCTCCCTCTCCGGAGACTGGTGTTTCCCTCTATCTTGAGATGGGATTCTTGTTATTCCTGAGACGCGTCCGACTCCTCAGGACGGAAGGACAGAACCCTCCCTTCTCCTCCTCCTCCTCCTCCTTCTCCTCACTCGTACTCGCTCATACTCACACTAGCTCATGTGAATCAGACTCTCTCACACTCAGAGCCACTCACACTCAGAGTCGCTCACACTGAGACTCAGTCACACTCGGATTCACTCAGTACTCAAACTCGCCCACACTCAGACACGCTCACACTTAGAGCTACTCATGCTCAAACACGGCCTCTCTCTTCCCCACTCAGACTCAGTCACTTCACTTCCTCACGCAGACTCGCGCATGTCCAGAACCACTGACACACACACAAACACACACACACACACACACGGATCGCAAGGATTTCTCAAGCGAGGCGTTGGTTTCAGCAGTCTCAAGGGGAGTCGCCAGGGGGGCATTTTACGGGCCTACTCGCGCCCAGTTTGGTCTGAGGAGATTTGCTTGTTTGCATGCCCGACACCTGCTGTGGGAGCAGATTTGGAGGATGCCTTAGGCGAGGCGCTGGCTTCCGCACTCCAAGGGGGGAGCCGCCAGGGGGTATTTCACGGGCCCGCTCGCGCCCAGAATGTGGGGATATCGCAGGCGATTTGCCTTGTTTCGGACAGGTGTAGGAGTACGGTAGGTTTGCGTCGTGTCGACCAGCGGCGACCCCAGCGTGGGCGTTCAAGGTTGAACGCCGCTGGCGACCCAGAATCGATCGACGTTGAACGATCGGACGTTGCGGCTTGACGCGCCCCAAAGAGTTGCAGATCCACCCTCTCTGTAATCTGCGAAACGGACGGATCAACGGCGGGGGGTAAGAGGGGGGGGGGGGGAAGGGGGGGGAAGGGGGGGGGGTAAGGGAGGGGGGAAGGAGGGGGCATGGGGTAAGGGAGGGGGTAAAGGGGGGGGGTAAGGGGTAAGGGAGGGGGGTAAGGGGAGGGTAAGGGGAAGGGTAAGGGGGATGGGGTCTGGAGCGGGGGTACGGAGGTGGGGGCGAAGAGGGGAAAGGAAGGAAGGGAGGGGGGGAGACAGTGGGGGAGAGAGGGATAACTGGGTCAGAGAGGAATAACTCCTCCCCTACCATTGCTCTGTATGGGTATTGGGGCAGGGAGAGCTGGAAGCAGAGGAAGACAGGGAAGAAGGAGGCAGTGTGCCCAAGAATCCCGCCGATTCTTGGGCACACGTTGGTGTTCGTGGATTCTTGGGCACGTGTTGGTTTTCGCGGGACCGTCCCCATGTTTTGCTCGTTCGCATGTTAACGTTTTTGCCGTCTGTCATAGTTCGTGTTTGTTTCCTAAAGGGGCGGAGGGGGCGTTTTCTCTCCAGGCGGGGAGTAGGGTGGGCGGGGTAGGTTGTCAGATGTGCCGCGTTCAAACAAATCATTCTATGTTTACACGCAACATACAGCACGCGCGCATGTGGGTGTGTGGTGTGTGTGCGTGCGTTGCGTCGGTGTCAGCTTCGGCGGCTCTGGCAGCCGTGACGTTAGCGTATTCGTCGTCGCCGTCGTCCGTCGTCGTGGTCGTTCTTGCCGCCTTCGTCGTCGTCATCGTGATTCGTGATCGTCGTCGTCGATGCCGTCGTCGTCACGGTCGTGCTCGTGGTCGCTGTCGTCACGGATGGTCGTGGTCGTGGCCGTCTTGACTGTCGTCGTCGCCGTGGCTGCCGCCGCGGTCGTCGTCGTCGTCGTCGTCGTTGTCGTCGTTGCCGTCGCGGTTTTTCCTCCCCTCTGTCACCGCCCGCGGCTCGCGGCTCTGTCTTCCGTGCCGCGGCCAACCGCGGCATGGACCTTTTAGATTACATCGACGGCGGCGGCGGCCCGCCATGTCCGCCAGCTGCGCCAGCGGCTGTGCCGCCAGCCCCGCCGCGGGCCCCGCCGCCGCCGCCGGCGGCCGTGGTCACGCCGCCGGCCGCGTCAGGCCGCCCAGGATTCTCAGAGAAATTGGGCTTGTACAGGCAAAGGGAAGAGGTGTTGAAGCGGGCGCGGCTGGTCAAATCCTTGAAGCGAGAGCGCGAGGTTAGCCGCGCCATTCGGACCGAAGTTGGGGTCGTTGGAGTAGCCTGGGATTCGACGCAACTGCGTCGCGGGGACCACGCGTTCGTCGGTGACGTGTCGACCCCAGCTGCCCACAAGAACCAGTGCGATCTCCATGGTGCCCTGAAGCTGGCTTTCGGTTCAAAGAATGCCGAATCCATGTCGAAGCGCGTTTTGGACGTGCGGGGGGCCCTCGTCCATTGCCATCTAAAGCGCCAAAGGGAAGTTGCCGTTGAGCGGATGTCTTCACCTGTGGCCCCGTGGATGTTCGTGGAACGTATGTTCGATGATACGCCGCTCCACCTCACGTTCGGCCACCTGTCGGAAGCCCTCAAGCCCCATGTAAAGTACGTGGTCCGACCGTGTCAACGCAGAGCTGTAGGAGGTAGGACAATGGTGTCTTACGCCGAAGCGCTCAAGCTCGGTGTGAAGTGCACGCAGCATGGGGTCATGGACATTATGAGCCAGACGGCGACTGTAGCGCATGGCGTCGGCGACGGGGGTAGTCAATGCATGTCCTCGAAACGGGGGTAACCTTAACCATACATAAAAAAGGTGAACCGTGCGCATAGAATTCGTACATAAACCGCTATAGTAAAACACTATACTAAACACCATACCAAAACACTACACTGTACACTAAAACACTATACTAAAACACTACACTAACACACTATGCTAAAGCACTATACTAAAACACTATACCAATACACTACGCTACTACACGACACTCATACACTAAACCCATACACGAAGCCAATACACTACACTAATCCATTACACTAATCCATTACACTAATCCACTACACTAGCCCACTACACCAATACACCAAGCTAATACATTACACTAGTTCATTACGCTGATACACGACTCCAGCACACTACGCTAGCGCAGTAAATCATTACTCATACGCTGCACCAAAACATTACACACACTACACCAATGCACTACACGAATAGAGTAGTTACAGGAACACACTTCAATAACACCACGATAGTACACTACACTAATACAGTACGCTATTACACGACGCAAACACACCACAATAACACACTGCGTTTATATACTAAGCTAATACACTACATTAATACACACACTAGACAAATACACTACACACATTCACTGCACTAACACACTACGCTGTTACACTACACTGCCGCACTACACTAATGCACTACACAAATACACTACACACATACACTACACGTATACAGTACACGAATAGACCACGCTAATACGCTACACTCATACACAACAATACACGACACAAATGCACGTCCACGAAGACTTACACCCCACATTATACTCGCGCGGGTCTGGTGTGTTGTGAGGTACGTGCGGTAAGTGGGTATAAAGTTAGATGCGTTGTGTGGGGCGTAGTGGGTGTGACGCGCGTGGTTTGCGTGTCTGTGTTTGTTCTGTGTGCGGCGCGTGCGTTCTGCGTGCTGTAAGTCCTGTGGTTGTTATGTGTGTTGTGCGAAAACGAGGGAGGGATAGTTCAAACGTTTTGTGCGGGTTGGACTTGGGAGCTCGTCTCAAGCGAAGCGGTGTTGGTTCGAAGAGTTCGCATACATGTAGCGTTTTTGCGCGGAGTATTAGTGTAGTGTTTTCGTGTAGTGTTTTAGTGTAGTGTTTTAGTGTAGTGTCTTAGTGTAGTGGTGTAGTGATTCGAATAATGTGTTTCGGCGTAGTGTTTTAGTGCAGTGGTTTAGCGTAGTGTTTTAGTGTAGTGTTTGAGTGTAGTGTTTTAGTGTTGCGTTTCGAGTAAAATCCTTTAGCGCCGCGTTTTAGTGTAGCGTTTTAGTGCCGTGTTTTAGTGCAGTGTTTTATGTGACGGTATGTGTGGTTAAAGTGCCCCCCCTGCCCTTGACCCTGGCCTGAAACGTTTTTTTTTCCTGGCGCCTCCCCCTGCCCCTCTTCGGGCGATTGGGCGTCTGGGGTCTAGGCTCCAGGCTCCAGGGCTCTTGGGGTCGACGCCAGTGTGATGTTTTTCGGATTTTGTCGAAGGTGAACGTTTCGAGCTCCTGATCCCTCCCGCCGTCATGGGCGGGGGGACTGCTGGCCACGTGCGCGCGGCGGTCGATTCGGCGTTGAGGGGCTTGCTCAGCCGGGATGCCCTAGAGGCGTTGGGCAAAGAGAC